TCCCTAGGGTAGTCCAAAATAAGCTTGTTGTTGAAAGGGCGGGGGGCATGTTGATCATATGGTGTCATTTTGTGAGAAATTTTTAAAAAAAAATGTCTCCCCAAAATCGGATAGTATTTGACCCCCCCGAATGGGGCCTAAACCCCCCTTAATAGCCCCCATTTTCAAACTTAAATTTTTTGATCAAAGTATTTGTTCTAATAGTAAAGGCATCATTTTGCGGTTCTATGGGCGAAAATTTCGTCTGTTTTGCCGTAAGTCGAGCGGTTTTTGTGTTACGGCCACATTTGGGCAATTTTTCTGTTTAATTTCCATTTTTACCGATTTTGACAAAGAAATGACTTAAATCGGGCTATATCACAGAAACCGTTCGACTTACGGCAAAACAGACAAAATTTTCGTCCATAGAGCCGCAAAATGATGCCTTTACTATAAATGAAATATCTTGAACAAAAATTTTAAGTTTGAAAATGGGGGCTATTAAGGAGGGTTTAGGCCCCCTTCGGGGCGGGAGGTCAAATACTGTCCGATTTTGGGGAGACATTTTTCAACTTCAAGGCCAAGATCGTAAAGTGATCAGATTGGCTGGAAATCGAGAAAAGTGGCCATCAATAGACAGTGGCCACATTAGGGCACCTTACCCTACACGTTGGCATCGATGACTCGCTCTCGCTCGAGGTCCAGTCCATAGTCGGTTCCGCCTAACACTCGGATTCCCGCCGTCGCGCTTGTGGCCTGTCGCGCCTGCAACCTGTCGCGCTTGTGACACGTCGCGCTTGCGAACTGTCGCACTTGTGACCCGGCGTGCTTGCGAACTGTCTCGCTTGTGACCCGTCGCGCTTGCGAACTGTCGCGCTTGTGACCCGGCGTGCTTGCGAGCTGTCGCGCTTGTGACCCGTCGCGCTTGCGACCCGTTGCGCCTGTGCTTTCTCGCGCTTGTGGGCCACTCCCGAGCGCGACTGGCCCTCGTATCTCTGATTCAGCTTTCAAAGTGAACTGATGGCCTGAAAACATTGCGGGCAAAGACTTTTAAAAGGTTCAGGGAAAATCAAACACATTTAAAAGTTAATGTTGAGCCACAACCCGTTTGTTTTCTCATTTGGAGTAAGAAAATATAAATAATATGTACTTGTATCACTATGTTTCACTAAGTGAAAGAAATAGAAATTTTGCTTTTAACCAGTTTAACGCTTGAAGCGCCAAACCAGGCCAGCAGCGAGAACAAATATTTTTCTCTGTAGTCTGTCTCTTTAGGTCCCAAACAAGACAAAAACCCGAAATAATCGTTTCCCCGGTTGTTCTAAGCCTTCTTTTCGAGTTGTCGTTACATGACGCCATTGCACCTTGTTGTCATTGGGGTGGGCTCAGGACTCCTTTTTAACAAGACAACTTTTTTGCTAGAACACGTCAGTGTGACCTAAATCCATTAATATGAGTTGAGTTCAGCACCTCTAAGCACATTACCTCTAAAGATTTTTACCTCTAAGCAAATTACCTCTAAGGATATTTACCTCTAAAGCAAAGTACCTCTAATGGATTTTACCTCTAAGCAAAGTACCTCTAATGAATTTTTCCTCAGAAAGCGTATTTTACATGCAAATAAAATTCATGTTACACTGGTTGGCTGAGCGATAGCGAAGCCTATTACTCCAGTGATGATCAAAAAGTTTCGCGTCTGTCTGTCTGTCTGTCTGTGTGTCTGTCTGTGTGTCTGTCTGTGTGTGTGTCTGTCTGTCATCACGATAACTCGAGAACGAATTGAGCTAGCGACCTGGGATTTTCAGGGTCGTTTTGTATCACAAAAAGACAGATCGAGTACGAAGAAGAGCATTCTAGCTCAAAAATTGGATTTTTAAAAAATCGAAAACCACAGGTCCCCAAAATGACGTTTTTTAAACATATTTTTTAATGTTTTCTAAGGGGTAACTCATCAAAGTAGAGCCTTTCGGCCGAAAATTTCATCCGTTTGGCTCTATCTCCAACCGTTGAGGCGCTAGAGGGTGTTTTTGACGAAAATAAGCGAAAAATGTACAACCCTGCATGCTTAGTCAAAGTGACGGGCCGTTGACGGGCCGGAGGCCCGTGTTGACGGGCCGGAGGCCCGTATCTTTGTGTACACTATTGCACTACCCGACTCGGGTGTCAGCGCCGCAGGCCTAGGTAGATGTATGCCAGGCGCGTCGCAGCGTAACAGTGTTTCGTGAGATATCGCGAAGCCTGTTACGCGAGACGTGGTCTGGCGTACATCTACCTAGTAACCCGTAAAACCCTTAACATATGTGACATACATGTGACATACAAGTCGCGCATACGAACGCGTCGGGGACATGTATGTGGTGGTTGAAGTCATAGGTCCGACATACATGCACTCTCATTTCCTTATGGACACGCCTACGGAGAATTTTGCGCTAACATATTATGGATCACAAATTATCCATAATATGGATAAAATTGTCCGTACTGCAGACAATTTGATCCATATTACAGACATTCCTTCATCCGTAGGGAGACAGTGCCCGTAAGCCACCACGGTTCCCTGGGGTAGGCAAACAGGCCAGTCGCGAGGGGTACCTAACTTGGTCCAGTCTTTGTACACTTGGCAAAATAATCAAATTATAATCATTCACAATCAAGTCCAATCTTCCCAGTCTGTTCCAGTCTGTCTACAGTCTCTCGAATCCTTACAATCACCTCCAGTCACCTCCAGTCAGCGCCAGTCAGCTCCAATCACCTCCAGTCACACCTCAAGTCACCTCCAATCACCTCCAGTCATTTCCAGTCATCTCCAATCACTTGCAGTCATCCAGTCACATTCATACTGAAGCCTCT